GTTTAAACTACAAAGGGGTCCTTTAGCCCTCTGTCAACTCAGGTTGGGTGGCCAGAAAAGGCAACTCCTCCCACTGATATTTTGAATGCCAGTTGTAGGTGTGTGATTCAGGGGTTTTGTTTCTTGCGCTCATCCCCATAATAATTCAGAGCCTCTCCTGAGGTAATGCATTTCTTCCTGCTTGCTGGTATTTTAATGGTATCAGTGTTTACTGTCAGTTCAGAGGCAGTACTTTGGCAGGGGCTTCTCAGATCAGTGGGATTATGGAGACAAGCAACTTTTAAAGCATGTCAGATGTAACCTTTAATGCTTTGCCGTTTTGTCGCTAGAAGAAAAAATATTGGAACTACTTTTCCAATGGGCTCAAATTGTGGCACTTCTGTCCATATTGATTGTATTATTACATTCTTTAAAATATGAAGACCATGAGAATCTTCCTCATCTACTTCTTACTCTAAAAGAAGGAAAACTTCCGCGGACATTATGTCATATGATGCAAATTTATATGGGACAGTACCAGGTTTCAGGTTTCGTGTCACTGGGATGACTTCCAGAATGGGATGGAGCCCAGCCCTGGAACCTTGCTGTATGTTGTGATGAGGGTACACAGCTGCTGATGGGGAAAATAATGTAAAATAATATACATCCAAATATAAGCAGGTTTTCATGGGTCCAGGGAAGTGAACAGTGGGCTTCCATCCATCCACCAGGATGGTAGGGAGCATACCCAGCTTCTCCTTGGTGTTTTTGCACTTCATGTTTCAAGAGATAGTCAGTATAGCTGTATTACTGCTATAGCTGAAAGAATACTCAACTGACCCTGAGATGTTTAGCTGTTATTGGGATTTAAAAAAAATAAATAAATGTGCTTGGGAGCAAAAGCATCTGGCATACATAGGAAACCATCCTCATCAGGGCAGAGTGGGCAAAGGATGCGGCTTCCTGCCACATCCTAGGGACCCCAGGAAAGTTGGAGGTAAAAAGCAGCCATATGGCTCTCATGCTGTTGGCATCATAGCTTCCTAGGAGCTCTGTAGCTATTTGTCACTGTGTTAACTCCCAGTGGATACTTACAATAGGCAAGAGTAGGGTTCCCATGCCTTCTTCCCCCACAGACCTATGGGAGCTAATCCCTATGGTGTGCAACTCCGTGGGTTTCAGGGTGGTATTGCCCTCCTGTTTCCTACTTAATGTGAGCTCCTGTTCTCAGCTAGTGGAGAGAGTAATCGAAACACTAGTAATTTGTCTATAAATGTTTGTGTTACTCAAAATGCCAAAGACGAGGATTTCTTAGGGCGATCTCTTTTATTGGACCAACTGTGTAGTTGGGATGGAGTTAGGCAAGCTTTCACATGCAAGACATTCTTTGTCATAGTTGGTCCAATAAAAGAAATCACTCTAAGAAATCCTTCTCTTGTATAATTCCTGGACCATCACTGCTACAACATCACTGTTCCATCTAAATAGCTAAGGTATATGGATTAACTCAAGTAATAACCATAGTAAATAGAGGGGAATGTACAGAAGTGGCATAATTGTTGGAATTCCACACCTTTTAGTAGAAATTGTTTTATCAGCATTGAATGATACACTTCTATTCCTTAAGGATTTATCTAAGTGCATATGAGGGGACATTTAAAAAAGGAATTTCAGTTGTCAAGGTCCTGGATGAAAGTCTTGTAAGGCAGAAAAAGAGCACTAGGCTTCTGTCCTAGTGTCCCACCCATCCTCACTACAAAAATTGGTGCTGCAATAGTGGATTGCTGATGACTATCAGAAAAAGCTGTGCTGACATTCTCCAGATGACTGGAAAGCATGAAAGATCACACAGGTTCAAGACAACAGGCATGATCACACAGGTTCAAAACAGGCATATATCCCAAAATACAGCAAATTATATCCTGTGTCAAATCCACTCACTTTGCAGAGTCACGAATTTTAAAGGGTGCTTTGGAATGGAACTTGCATCAAGAATTAGGTATGGTAGTATTGATATGTTATTTTGTTTTTTAGGGGGAAAAAGGGACCTTGTACATTCTGACTTTGCCGATCTGTCAGAAAACAGTACTGAGGAGAAACCTTGCATGGCTCAATGGTTTGAGACTGGAGCAGAAGAGGGAGGGAAGATTCTTGTGGAGTCTGCATTACTGAGCATGCAGATGTTTGAGATAAAGAATTCCGTGGGTGGTCAGCAGCACAAGGGGTGCTTGTGTTTAAGAATCAAACACAAGATCGACATGCCAAGTGCTCTGCTTGCCTACTCGGAGCCACAGAAAGGACCTCCCTTACCATCCAAATGGAAAATATTAGAGTAGCACTTCTGTTCCCAGTTTGGATGGAGTTTTCTGGGGAAAACTTCCATATTAAGGGCTCTGGCCTCTGTTTTTTTGGTTTCTCAAGAATTGGGAAGCAATTGAGCTGCAAGAGCTCAGGAAAATGTGTTACATACAAAAGCTGCAAGTGGGAAATTCTGAGAACAGCCTAAAAAAAAAGGATCTCGTTTCCTTTAGGATCAGTGAAGTATTTTCTTCAGGGATCAAGTCTGATAGTGCTTTTGTACTGTCCAACTGTAAGGGGGTTTGTTTGCTGGGGAGATGGTCTTGAAGCTAGTTACGCTGGGTTTAAAGCCCAAACCTGCTGGTGGTGCAGGGTAAGGCAGCCACAACTGACACCAGGATCTTGCCATGTGTGTGTTCCTTTATCTTGATCCAAAGGCTTGTAGCTCACTGTTTCTTGTGCAGGTTTCTACAGAATGCAAAGTTGCCTACCCTGATCACAAAAGGAGTAATCATTATTTAAGAGAGACTCTAATCAAAGCGATTAGATACATCTCTTTGTGGGTGCTTTGTCATGCACAGCAGTTTCATAGGATTTATGGCCAGAAGGAACTCTCATGAACTTTGAATCTGGTGCCCTAGACAAGGTGGTTGCAGTCCTTCTGCCGTTCTTGAGTCTCATCTCTTTTCCACTACAACAAGATCCTTCTTGAACTGGAAACACCAGAGCTAAACTGTGTTTCAGTGGCAGTAGTGATTATATCAAAGCCAAGCAGATGTAAAATCACCCTCGCACTTTAGCATGGCATTCATCCTTTATGTACCACAGGGTTGCATTAGCATGTTTTACCATGGTCTCTTGTGGAGAGCTCATGTTAAGTTGATTATCCACCATAACCCCAAGTCCTCTTCAGAATTACTGCTTTCCAGGATAGAGTTTCTCAGCCTTATCCTTTGTTCCCAGATAGATGATGGCTATAAAAACACATTGCTTTGCACCCAACTTGCCGAGCGCTACAAGACGGTCAGTATTTCTGACCTCTACCCTCCATTGCTTGCCACTCCCTAATCTATGTATCGTCTGCAGAATTTATGAGTAAAGAAGCACTTTTTCCAGCTGAGCTTGATTGCTAAACTTACCCATGTAGAATTAGTTAACGTTCACATTCCCTCTGCACATGTGTAGGCCCACAGGCTCAATGACTTTGTGCCCTGTGAAAGACACGAGAGCCAGCCTACCAGATTCTGAATTGGCATGAATCAATGTGGAGAATACCTGCAACTCTTACTGCTAAAGTAAGTCATCAGGCTGAGCTGTGTCTCCTGTCCTCTGAAGGTCACCTTCCTAGTAACCATAGCAGGTGGGACATGGGCAATCTTTCTAGATGGGGGGAGAGATGGAAGTAGATGCTGAGTAAACCTTTTCTGAAGTAGAGAATGTGAGGAAATTGCTTCTGCCACATAGAGTCAGTAACTGTTCTGCTCTCATATGGGTCAGGACCACTGCATAAATGATGATAATGGCATCATCTGGTGTAAGTAATGTTCACAGGATATATCAAATATTGTGCCAGTGTCTGCCCCAAAGTTACATTAGAAAAGGAGTCTCAGCTCCCATGGACTCCATGAGGGCTAAGGATCAACTGCCTGCCAGGTTTGGGAATGCTGGCCATTCACCACTAAGTCTGGAGCAGTCCCAGGTGTTTTCTGCCTTGAGAGGACAAAAGAGAGATTTCAGTGGAGCTTGTATTTCTGGGCATGCTGACACTGGGGGAAAAAAGGCAGCATAAAAGGTGTTTGTTAGGGGGCTGTAGATTTGCCTGGTTTCTGTGCTTTCCAGGGCTGACCCACAATTATTTTGGGCCCCCTGGCATGAAGAAGCCAACATTGGCGGTGGAGGGCGGGGTGGGGGATGGTGGCAAGTGGCTGGAAGTGAAGCCGGCGAGGGGGTGGGGGTGGCGAGGGGGTGGGGGTGGCAAGCGGCTGGAGGCTGGGGGCTTCTTGGCTGCAGTGCCTCCTGCAGCCGCAGGTTTTACAGGATAGGACGGGACGGCCCTGGTGCCGCCTTTTCTCAAGGTTCGGGTTGGAGCTTGAGCTGTAGAATTGTGGGGCCTTAGTACTATCACCAGCCCTGCAATAAAGGCCTCTTTTGGGGCAGACTGCAGCTGCTTCCACCAATTCCCACAAGGCTTCTCCTTTTAGGCCATTGATCAGATTTACAGTGTACTCTCTTTAGTTGGCTGTGTCCTTGTTCCTTACCCTCCTTCCACATTAGGCAGATATTTGGGGCCCATCTGCCTTTGGTGCAAGAGGATAAATTTGGGTGTGGAGAACTGCTCCAGCTCTCCAGGACTGAACTGTGCTTGTGTTTGTTCCTACAGGCTAAAACACAATCCACTTGCTCTTGAAGCATTTCTTTTGGTGGGGGAGGGTTGGGTCAATGCAGGGACACAGAGTGCTCAGTGGATGTTGTTCTGAATGCAGTGATGCTGAAAAGGGGGTAAGGAGAAACTGGGCTGGAATTAGCACTAATGGTTACAAAGGAAACCAAGTCATGCTTTCTGATTAAGAGCAAGGAAAGGAATTTGCTACCCTTCTCTTTTCCTTGTTTACTGTCGGTATCTGCAATTGCCACAGAATTATCATGAGATCACTATAACCTTCCACTTCTCATGACTTCTCCCAAGAGGAGCACATGTTGATGCCAGTTGTGTTGTTCTGCAGGTGAAGGAGCTGCAGTTCTGCTCCGTTCCTTGGAACCACTGGATGGCCTGGATGTGATGCAGCAGCTGCGAAGTTCTCAGAAGAAAGGGCAGCCCAAACCCCTAAAGGACTGGCAGCTGTGTAACGGGCCCTCCAAGCTCTGCCAAGCATTTGATATTAACAAAGACTTTGACCAAAGAGACCTAGCTCAGAACCCTGCGATATGGCTGGAGCCTGGTCCAGAAGTGCTAGGAGAGCAGGCTGTGGTGACTACAGCCAGGATTGGCATTGGCTGTAGTGGAGAGTGGGCACAGAAACCTTTGAGGTTTTATATACGAGGAAACAGGTGTGTGAGCATTGTGGACAAAAGGGTAGAGAGGGAGACTGAGTGCTCGTATGATTTACCTGTTGCACAGGGGTAAGGTGGCAGCCTGGTGCACAACTGGATTTTTCCTTTAGTTAACACTCAGCCCAAGCTATGGCTTGACAGGAACAATGAGGGAAAGGGGACTGATTGATTGATTCAGGAGATTTTTTTTACAATAAATATTTTGCTAATGTATGGGGTCAGGTAGAAAGTCTTGTCAGTGATGAGTCTGGGGTACATGCTCACCCAAGTCAGATCACTTGGGGGTTCTCTGAATGTAGCTGGGTTTGGCGTATAGGCATCGAGAGGAGGACACTTTCCTTTCTGGTTAATTAGGCTGGATTATAAAAACAATGCATGTAGCCTGCCGCCCTGTGACCCAGCACTTTAAAGTGCCTTGCCCTGCAGACTTGCTGCAGGGCAAGGCAGGAAAAGCTGCCAGGTGAAGGCAGTTGCCAGATTCCTGACAGGGGGAGCCTCAACCTGCCCTCCATTGGGGAACCTTGTAACTCGCTCCCTGGTAGCCCATTTTTGGCATTGGGACTGGGACTGGGCCTGTCCCGATCCTGATGCTGACCCTCATGTCAATGCCACCATCACATTTTGTTTATAGCATCATATAAATGAGCCTCAAAGATGTTCCATGTATTTTGTGGCACCATATTTTGCCTGAATATCTGGCACTGTTACTATTTATGTAGCATGTGCCAGGGGCCTCGGTTACTGCTGACTATACTAAGTAGTGCTAGAAACAACATGTGTTGGGTAAGAATTTCACTGCCCTGTTACCATGTAGAGTAATTTGACACACGTTTGTAGGCAGTGGGCAAGTCAAGACGCATGAAAGTTGCAACACATGTCTCTTCTATTTTAGTAAGTTATCCCAGAACATCCAGGAGCAACAGGTACTTTGCTCAGAACAACTTAAGTAGCACTTGCTGTGTACCTGGTCTCAAACAGGCACATGCTGCTCCTGGCTGAAAAGCTCACAAGGAATAATGAGGTGTCCTCAAGGCATGGCAGGTACTACCACAATCACTTCTTTATGCTAGGCTCTCTTATGCCAGTATCAATTGCAGTTTTAGGAGGTTGGTTTCCCTTTGTTTGGCCTCCCCACTCCTAGGGAATGACAGACATGGGCAGGTGACTGACATTTGCACTTTGGGCTTAGTTCAAACAACTCGAACAGTTCAGTGATAGGTGAGGCAAGGATGGGTAGGATGGTGCAGGGTGAGACTATTGTAGTTAAAGGTGCTGTAGAGCCTGAATTTTCACTCAACTCCAGGAACTTGAATTCTTGCTGGAAGAAGGGCTGCAGCATTAAGCTCTTGCTACAACCAAGGACTTGACTGTTCCAAGTGCCAAGTGTTCTCAGCTCGCAGGGACAAGATAGTTGGCAGCAAGTTGCCAGAAAGAGCCATAATCTTGTGAGTTACTGCAAGGCCAATGATAAAACTATGTTAAGCTATGTAATAGTGCATGCAGTACTGAAAGGTGTACCATTCTGATAGGTGAGACTTTCGGATAAAGGCTTGAACACTCCAGTCTGAAAGCAGGCCATGGAATGGGCATTCTGCTGAGCCTGCTCACCTTGGAATCTCTAAGTAGTGTTTCACCTGCAAGGGGAAGAACTAGTTTGAATCCAGCTTCATTCATCAGAGGCCAGGTGTAGGTTTGCACTGCAGCTGTTTTTTCCTGGAACAGTTTGCAAGGGAAGAGCAGGGTGGAATTTCTGAAACTAGTGTTTCTCCCAACCCTCTACAAAGTTTCAATGCAGATAAGAACTGCATCCACTATTAGCACAAAGAGGGGCTTTGGGACAGAGAGAAAAGTTGTAAAATGCTGGCTTAATGGCAGCCATTTGGGACAGCCGACTCTCAGTTGCACCTGGAACTTAGGAAGGAAGAGCAGAGAAAATCAAGCCACACTTCCTTCTTATCAACCTAGCAATGGAGTAAAAACGTGGGCAATAGTATGAGGCAGCTGGTAGAAGTTTGAAGACTTACCGTACAAATATGTTGACAGATGAAGTGGATCTGCTGTGCTGGGATGTGTCCCCTTCACTGGTGAAACGCATGCTGCCTGTTTCACAGGGATCAGGTCCCTGCTGCTCAGGTCAATGCACCCAGGACTTCAGGGGTCTGTCTGATCCTGCACACTCTGGGATCATGTCTCTAGCCTGGGAGCACCTGTCTAGGGTGGCTGCAGAGTGCAGGTGGCTGGAGAGTCTTGCTATCAGTTTCTTAAGCAGGATTTGGGGGGAGGGGGGTGGCATTTCCCCATGGCTTGACCTGACCCATCCCAGGGACATTCTGGACTGGTTCAACTGTGGCGAAATGCTCCACTCCCCCCAAGCACAGACCATTACCCCAGTCTGTGGAGGCGCAGGAGACTGGCAGTCCAGCTGGACCCATCCTGAGGCCCCAGGAAGGTTCCAGACCTGCCTCTCTGAACCTGCCCTTGAGCTGATTGGCAGAACTGTTGGGGTGGGACTTCCACCATGACTTGACTCTTCTAGGGGACACCCAGCATGGATCTGTCATGAGGGAATGCCATCTTCCTGCATTCCCCTAATCCCCTCATCCCGTTGCACAGACTCAGGTCTGTTCAGCAG